TATTTTCTTTTTTCTTTCTTAGTGTTAATGTGTTTTATGTGTTTTTACTCTTTGATTATACTATAAATATTATTATTGCTACTCCATTGTGTGTGTCTGTGTGTTCTTGGAGACTCTCTCTGTGTGTGTACCTGGGCTTGCACTGTGATGATGATGATGATGAACTGCTTTTTACAGTGAAAGGAAGAAATAATAATAACAGATGAATTTATATTTATAATTGCGTATATACACACGTATAGACTTACACCCATAGTTGGTGTATTTCTGTGTTTACTGTGTAGATTGGGCTAATGGTTAATATCTGTTTCTTTGCTTGATGGTTTGCTAGTTGTTTTTGTGCTGTTCCTTGTACTGTTAGGATGATCTACGTTGAATAGAGAAAAGGAAAAATAGTTATTGGTTCATATAATTTTATTATTGCTTATACGCACCAGCATACCCAGTGTTCTGTGTAAAGTGTATGTTAATTGGGCGTTTCGTTGTGCTTTTAATTTCTTTTTGTTTTGTTGGGTTTTTTTTTAGTGGTGTCTCTTTATTGGATTCTTTATTGTTTATACTGGTAGTATTGTTTTATGTTTACTGTTGTTTTTGTTGTGTCCTGTTTTACCAACTGTTTTTTGTTTCTATTGTATGGGATCTTCTTCACTTTTTCTCTCTGTTTCATTTTTCTTTAACAAAGTGAAGTTAAACAACCAAGAATTATTATTGCCATGATGATGCGACCTATTGTTTGTTTGCTGGTTTTTATGCTGAGCGTTGCATTTGTATGCATGGGAGCTGACCCTAACCCTGATGTGGAACCTGGTCTTGGTGGTGCAGGTGTTTCTGATTGCCCAAGTGGTTCTGAGTGTAAGGACACTGAGTCGAAACTACGGGAAACACCTGCACGTGGTCCTAGTGGTGATACTGAGTGCATTCCTGGTGGTACTCCTGAATGTGCGAAAGCTGCCCCGAATACTCTTGTGAAGTCTGAACCTGTAGTTGAACCTGTTGATTCTAAGTGCACACCCGGTGGTACTACTGAATCTAACACTGATACTTCCAAATGTGAGGAAACTATCGGTAAACCTCCTCATGAGAAAGGTGCACCTAAACCTAATAATCCTGAGTGCCATGGTGGTACTCCTGATCCTTCTGGTAAATGTACTAATCCTGCTGAGAGAAGTGAACGTGGTGGTGATGGTTTGGAGTGCCCTGGTAACACTTCTCGTACTGCTGATGGTAATTGTACTTCTGAATCACAACCAGCAGCACACCCAGTACCACAGCAAGAAAACGAACATCAGCAAGAACAACAACCGGATCTTAATCGTGTGAGCACAGATAATGGCAGTGAACCAGCAGGAAGTGGAGACCTAGAAAATACGTCAACCACAGAAGGACAGGCAACGACATCATCTGGAGACAGTGGTTCCAACAACACTAACCTACAAACTCAGCCAGAAAGTGCAAATGAAGGTGGTGACAGTAATCCCAGTAATCAGACTGCTGCAGCTGCAGGTACGACTGGCACAGAAGGTTCACATGAGAATGGCAATGCTGATTCAACTTCAACCACCATCACTACCACAACAACAACACTTCCTCCTGAACTCACAAACAACAAGAAGGGTGATGCAGACAGCAGCAGCAGTAT